CAATCTCTTCTTTAGATTTCACACTATATATTCCGATCACGTTTCTTGGTGGGTGCCCTTCTTAGCTGCTACTCCCTATTCAAATCAGGTGCGTTTCCAAAAATACTAATAAAATTCATTAAATATTACCTCGCTAAAAGAAAAGAAATGAAATAAAAAATAATAATAAAACAGAGACAAATATAAAATAAGAGAAAATAATCATGCAGGTGATTAGTATGAATTCATTATTAGAGATAGATTTATTATCATTATGAAAATATAAAACAACAAGGTCAAGGTCAAGGTCAAGGATTAAAGACAGTTTTGTTATTTATATGATTTTTATTATGATAAATGAAGTTAAGAAAATTACAATGTTATTTTATACATGTTAAAGGTTCTATCATTTAGTTCTCCGATTTCTTTGTGAATCCCAATTTATTCTAATTAAATGTATTTATTTCTTAAACCTTCTGTATACAATTATTTCTAAAGTGGTCCAATCCAATTATTTAAATTCATTCGTTTAGATTTAATCTGAGAATCAAAGGTCTGTTGCATTTTAGTTGTTTGAGATATTTTCTGCGAGTCAATAACAATATGAAATTGAATTCTTGGTTTTCTTTTCTTCGTAGACTAAGGTCATAAAATAGTGAGGTCATAAAATAGTGAGATCAACTGTAAATTGAAGGTTCTAGGAAAACCAGATATTTGGACTTATGGTCAGTAGATGAAACCAGACGTGTGCTACCTAGTAAAGTAAGGAACTCAGATTGCGCACTCACAATAATTTCAGCTCCTATTTCATAAGTTTGCTTCTAATTGATATACTTTTTCCTTCATACATGATAAAAAAGAGAAACAAATTGATACCTGAATGTGTTTTAAATTAATGTATATCTATTTTAATTATTTTAATTACAAATTAAAAATGTCCAAAAAATACAATGATAATATGAAATGCGAGAGGCAAAAATGATAAAAGTGATGAAGAAGCGGTGGTAATGTTAGTGATAAATGATATTTAGATATTTATATTCTAAAAATTTTTTTTTTAAAAATTTAAAAAATGCACATAATGCACATGAAATTTTGAATTTCTCATTTCTAGGCCGCACCATATTATAAATAATTATAAATTAAAAAAATATAACCAAACTATAATAAATTTTTTTAGGTTTGTTTTGATTTCATTAATTTAATAAGTTCTTTTAAATCCTTTTCAATATTTGTAATCCTATTTGAAATATCACTAATTTCATTTTGTAATGAATCAAATTTATTTTCATGCTTCATGTTTGATGATGTAGATGATAATGGTAATTCTCCTCCAAATAATAAAAATTTATTATTAGTACTATTGTCTTTATTGTTATTAAGAAGATGATTGAATTCAACATCAATAATTCTAAAGGTTTTCAATCCATATTTAAAAGTTCCATCATTACTGTTTGCCACATTAATTTCACTATCCATAAATGATTTTTTATCAACAATCAACTTGTTATTATTATCACCATCACCACCATTGTTATCATTAACACTATCAATTTCATCATCAGAATCATCAATAAATTCATCATATTCAATATCATGTAAATTTAAAATATCTTCAGGTTTAACCAATGCATTAAATTTATTTTCAGCTTTCAATAACCATTTTTCTAAATAATCAACTCTTCCAACATAATAAATGAAATGAGGATTTCCTCTAGTATTACCAAATGGTTTTTCTAATGTCTCATAATCAGATAATAAATCTGCTTTAACTTTTAAAGTTTTTTGTTTTACATCAAATACACCTCTATAAAACATTTATAATAATAATCATTATTATTTTTTGTCTTTGCATACTTATGTCATGAATGCAATTAATAAATTTTGCATTATTACTACTAATAATATACTTGCAACTAAATTACATAGAAATATTCAATTAATAAAAGAAAAAAATAAAAATAGATAACCAAATAAAAAATATAGTTGGCTCGGTCTAAAGACCTCCTAAATTTTGAACAAATTTTAAAAGTATAGAAGTCATTTTCTGTCCTACATTTTAAAAAATAGCGTTATTAGTTGATAGAATAGGTCTTTAGTTTTAATGTAATAACGAGATGTTCTCAAAAAAATTCTTTGTTGTAGAGTTCTATTCTTTTTTAAAACATGTACTTTACTATGCTCGCGAGGAATTTGTCCACTAAGATCATTGCTAAATTTAGACTATTTTTTGATCATCCT